GGGGGGGAGCGGGTGGGGGGGGGTTAATCCTGGCGCTTCTGCGGGCATGAAATACCAGGTTCTGCGGATGGTGCATGATGGCAGCTGTTGGGAAAGCAGGTCCGAGAAGGCACAAGGTGTCGTTGCTCTGTCGATTCTTGTCATCTTCTCGGTAACGTTGGGAGAGCTTAAATGGCTGCTGTATCCTTGGATGGTAAATGTTTTCCGTGTAACTGCTAGTCGTTTTAGAGGTGCTCGTGTGACACCATAGCTCTGTGCTTGATAAAGCATCTCTGTAGCTTCATGCCCTTAGTCTTTGCTTGCAAGCAGGAAGCAGTGACTGTAATTTAATATGAAAATGTCTCTCTTCCAGGTCAGAGCGGAGCAGGAAATAACTGGGCAAAGGGCCACTATACTGAAGGTGCTGAATTAGTTGATTCAGTGTTAGATGTTGTAAGAAAGGAGGCAGAAAGCTGTGATTGTCTCCAGGGCTTTCAGCTTACTCACTCTCTTGGTGGTGGCACTGGCTCTGGCATGGGTACCCTCCTAATCAGCAAAATTCGTGAGGAGTACCCAGACCGAATTATGAACACTTTCAGTGTTGTACCCTCCCCTAAAGTATCAGATACTGTAGTAGAGCCCTACAATGCAACACTTTCTGTGCACCAGCTCGTGGAGAACACAGATGAAACATACTGTATTGACAATGAAGCACTCTATGACATATGCTTCAGAACGCTGAAGTTAACTACTCCAACATACGGTGATCTGAACCATTTAGTGTCAGCAACCATGAGCGGTGTTACCACCTGCCTGCGTTTCCCAGGCCAGCTTAATGCTGACTTGCGTAAGCTAGCAGTTAACATGGTTCCCTTTCCCCGTTTGCACTTTTTCATGCCTGGTTTTGCCCCGCTCACAAGCCGTGGGAGCCAGCAGTACCGCGCTTTAACTGTACCAGAGCTAACGCAGCAGATGTTCGATGCGAAAAATATGATGGCGGCATGTGACCCACGTCATGGCCGCTATCTCACAGTAGCTGCTGTTTTCAGAGGGCGCATGTCAATGAAAGAGGTTGACGAGCAAATGCTTAATGTGCAAAACAAAAATAGCAGCTATTTTGTTGAATGGATTCCCAATAACGTTAAAACAGCGGTCTGTGACATTCCACCTCGTGGCCTGAAAATGTCTGCCACGTTTATTGGTAACAGTACGGCTATCCAGGAGCTCTTTAAACGCATTTCTGAACAATTTACCGCTATGTTCCGCCGGAAGGCTTTCTTGCATTGGTATACTGGTGAGGGCATGGATGAGATGGAATTCACAGAAGCTGAGAGCAATATGAACGACCTGGTGTCTGAGTATCAGCAGTACCAGGATGCTACAGCTGAGGAAGAGGGGGAGTTTGAAGAGGAGGCTGAGGAAGAGGCAGAATAAAACCTATGCAAATGAACACCTGTAAATTTTGTTTAAAGCTGTATGAACTCTTTCATTCAAAACTTCTCTTGTCTGTGTTGTGTTCCTCTTCCTGTTTCAAAGTCACTTCAAATGCTGTACAGGCATCATTAAAGTTTTTTTCGCAGTGCACAGGCTTGTCTCCTTTGTTCCTTTTGGTAAGCTTTTCGGGTGCTATTTCCAAAAGTAAGTGCATAGCTATGTCTGAGGGCTGGAAAACAAAAATAGGGGATGTTGTGTGAGTGCCAGCCACCTGCCGCTACGCCATTTTCAACCACGCTTTTCTCTCTGCTTTCTAACAGGGTAAACACCTGTTGACTGTGTCACTGGACAGAGTGGCGTTACTTGTGTTGAGGGAATTGAAAAAATGCTCAGGTATTAATTTATAATTGAGTGTACTGGCAGATGGAGATACAGCTGAATTTCCTCCTCTCTGTTAACTGGAAGTGTCTAAATTTAGGTACCTGCATGTGGGCTCCTATTACAGGTGATAGGTCAGCTGTCCAAACTTAAGTCTGATGTAGAGAGCTGAGTAGCTCTTTGGACTGTAATGGCAGCTTAGGCTCTAATGTAGGTGTCGGCAAGCTACAGCTGTAGCTTACTCCTCCTATCTGGATCATAAAATGGCACAGGCCAGTTACTGCTTTGATAGCGTGGATATTTCTGGAAGATGATAAGCTGGCCTCACCTAGGGCTGATCCTCTGCACTTACTTAGCAACATAAACCTAGCAGGTAGTTGTGACTTCCTGAATCAGAGCTCTCTCCTTAACAAGCTGTTTTACGTATACAGCAGAGGCCAGAAATAATGCTGAAGATGTCCAATTTAAGCAGCCAGAGCATCCCTTGCTAGAGTGATTTTTAAGCCAGTATCTAGACATTTCAAATAATATAAATTATTCTGGGGGTAGCATAGCTTTTCTTTCTGTGTTTGGTTAGTATGAAGATCTCATCCCAACTTACACTACTTTGTCTTGAAAGTGTTACAAGCAAAACAAACACTCTGGAACCAACTAGTGTTCAATGTTAGCTAAAATGACAAAGGAAAACATGTACTCAGTAATTGAGACAGAATAGAATGGATTGCTTTCCTGGTGAGGAAATTTTGTTCAGGGTTCTTAGTTGTGACTGGTAGTGGGTTAAGTTTTTCTAACTCCTAAAAAAGGAAGAAAAGGTAGTATAACTCTGTGAAGAAAAAAACTGTTTATAGTAGTTTAAAAAAAAAAAAATGCGTTCATTGGGTGGAAAGTAGGGGCTGCAGACATAACTGTCAAAGAGAGTGACCAGTCTCGAGCCTGCAGGGGAGACTACTTCTGTAGATTCAAAGATGACAAAAGTTAGATTTTTGAAGCATGATGTAGCGCTTCATCAAACAGTGAATTTTTGGCTTAAAGTTGATTTTTAGGGCATACTTCCCCCTTTTCATTACACAGAAGTTCACGTACCCATTACAGTGTATTTTTTCCTTTTCTGTAGCTTGGAACAAGACCCTTCTTTGCCAGTTAAAGAAGGCCAGTGTCAGCCTCCCAAGATCCTACTCAGCAAAATTACATGAGTTACTCTTAAGCCCCCAACCCAGCATCCTTGCACAAGGGCCTACACTGGGAGCTGGGAGTACTGCACCGTGCAGAGAACTGCCTGAAGAACTATAGCTTCTTCCCCTGCCTTTCTGTGGGCTTTTGGCGGAGGTGGCAAAACAGCAAGATCAGTGTTGACACTGGCGTCCGGTTCACTCTTCCCACCAGGGTTATAGCAGCCTTTCGCCAAGAGGGTTTTTTTTTGAATTGCAGGCTACAGCCTTGTACGAGTATAACCCTAATCCCACTGTGTAATACAGTGCAGAGGAAAAAAATGACATGGAAGAAGTCAGGACTTTGTCTTGGGAGACCTAGGCGCTATCACGGGAAGGGAGAAGGCAGGTAAGTGTGATGCACTGGGTTCAGAGCAACTGCAGCTTCTGGGCTCAGTGTCTCTCCTTCCACTGAAGTAGGAAGGTGGTTACAGAGTTCAAAAGGAACAGGTTGGGTTCCCCCCCACACACTTCCTTTTTTTCCTATATCGTGTGTGATGTTAAATCCTACCATTCCTCTGGGCTGTGTGTATTCGTCCCAAAGGGATTGGTAGAGGGGACGAGTGGAAGCTGTAGAATTCAGTTCTAGGCAGTCTCTTAAATTCTTTGGAAGGCCTGAAACTAATGATTGTATTAGCAAGGTTTAAGCATTTAGTCTTACTGGAACCTCCTACCTAAAACTGATTTTTTTCAGACTGTCCTTCAAGAACTTAGTAGCTATGTAGAAACCTTAGTGCTTGTTCTGCATAGCCTTTCTTAGATGAACCTTTAGGATGCCCTCTGCTGTAAGTTGCTGGAGTCATAATTCACTGCCTCAATATTCTCCCCTCAGTTCAAATGCAATTTTGTTACCAGCTATAGTCCAACCTGCCATGATACTCTTCCCCTCTTTGCTTTCACTTCTTTCATAATTTCCATGTTCTCTACCATTTTCCTTCTGTTTATTGCCTCAAGTACAAACTAATAGTTTATTTTCTTGTTATGTCAATGCTTTCCTGTTGCTTACATGTTACTGAGCTGTTGACACTTTGCACTGTCAATGATTCCAGTATCAGTTGCTCATTTGTTGAAATTGCAGTCTCACATCTTAATGCTTTCTCTCAGGTGCGTGGGCAGTTCCCCTTGACATTAACAAACCTATTCAGACCTCTGCTTTTTAGTAAGCCTATAAATGACAGCGATTTGACAGACAGTAGGGGGTAGCCACCACCTCTCTTGATGGCTAACATTGTTACACTGTGTTTTTCCGCTCTCCCAACCTGTTTGCATTACCTACTCCTTTGCCTTTTAGACTTTAAGAGTAAGCTTTCTGGAACAGAAATCACTTTCTTAATGAAGAAGTTGTAATGGGTACCCTGTAACAGGTGGGCTGTTACTGAGCACCCTCCACTTCTATGGGGATTTGTGGCTGGAAACTACAGTAACAGTCTGCAGGAGTCCCGGCTGACAAGAAGGCTGATGGGATCTCCTACCGGATAGCACAAGTCCAAGACCGTGGCAAAGACTGGAAAAAATTTACTTCCCATACGAAACATTTCAGTTAACTGCTCTCTGCTATGACACTACTGCTACATACGATAACAGTACTACTTAATAATAGTAATTAGTATCAGTGACTTTCATTTTCTTTCAGCTGGTAAACTTACTTGGTACAAAGCCTGTATAGAAAGGTATCAGTCCAGCACTGGTGTAAATTCTTTTGTTAGGCCAGTATGTCTGAGGTAGTCTCTTGCCAAAGTCACAAACTGTGTTTCTCTGCAAAAACTAGAAAAACAAAACCGTTCATTTTACAAGGTATTTTTGTTACACAAGTAATGTGATGTGACATGATGTGAAAGGAAATATTTAAGCTAATGCAAAGCAGTTCTCTTACCAATCCTAGTCTCCTCCGATTAGCAGCTGGATATATTGCATCTTCCCTTTTTCCGCTTAGAGTTTGCTCCTGAACGGTGGTGGAAGAGAGCCTCTACAGCAGTGGTTTTTGATAGCTAATGCCCCACCAGGTACACAGATCGGCTTCCTGCCTTCAAATTATGCTTCCGGGATCTCTGCAAACTATGCTGCGTTGATCGCATTTGGGCATCATCCACAAGTCCCAAGGGCCTTGTGCTCATAAACATGAATTATTGTCAGCCGACTGAAGCTGCTGCTGTCAGATATATGCCTTGGCTGCTCTTGTGCTATGACTCTGCACACATCAGCATTTTGTTCTGACACCTTCAACTGGTTTTGTTGTTCTGTGAAGCCCAGTCACGGCAATTAGCCAGTAATTCCCAGGCTAGTAGGAACAGGAAGGCTTAGGGAATGTGAGCTAAAGGGAGACTAAATCATCTCTCCTGGACCTGCCTCCTGACTTCAGAGGTCGAACTGAGATAACAGGATGCACTGAAGGATTTTGCAGGTCTGCAGATCACTGTAGTGGCAAAAGCCCTAAAAGCGTCAATAAAGCTTCCCTGACCTCATTAGTGCGTTCCCCGCTCAGTGGTGAAGGGACAGCGTTCGTAAACCTGAACAAAATGCTGGGTCCACTGAACCGTTTTGTGAACGATGATGATGGACTGATTACTAGAACTCCCTCAAAAGCTGCACTGAAGCAAGAGGATTTCATTATTTTTCCCCAAGGTAGGAAAAAAGAAATGATCCACAGCACATAACCTAGGGCAACACAGATTTAGGGCAGAAGATAAGTGGCTTGAAGTCAGAAGCCATCTTAGAAATGTTCAGCGAATTTTTCGCATGTTTATATTCCTCATGTGCTGCAGATAACCCCTACAAGCCTGAATTTTGCCGATTCCTGTGACGTGGAGAAACACCACCGGCCTCCCTCACAGGTTCACTGCGTGGCGGCACTGGCGGGCATCTCAGGGAATCAGGATACAGGGACAGAAAGGATTTGCAAATAGCACATTTAGTCTTGGTAACATCTGGATTTTGTTCTGTTTGCTTTATTTCAATTTCTTTTAACTGCACGGGAAAGGATAAGCAAACCAGCACAGGGGAAAAACAATTCAGTAAAACCATCAGGACGCCACCAGGAAATATCAGCCCTGCTACTGCCTCCTGCTGAGTCATTTATGCCCGGCTGAGTTCCTCTGAGTCAAAGGGCTGCCTCTCTCTTGGACTTTCTCCTACATCAGACCGACTTGCTCTGGGATGAAGGCACCGCAGTGAATCCTAGTGACAAGAAGGGGTAGGAAATTTTGTAACCCGCTTTAATTAGCTGTGTGACTGAGCTGATGACTCCTCGCTGGCTCTAGGCCAGCGACTTCTGTATGGCAGTGATTTCACTCTGCTCCGGTAGCAGGAAGAAACTTGCAGGTTTGAATGCAGTCTAACTCTCGCGGGAGGGGTCACTTTTCTTCCAGTAGGAGGACTGTATGGCATTGTATGGAGGGTCTTACAGGGAGGGGAGGAAATAAGAGTTGTGCTGTAAGGCTACTTCTGCATCCTTCCCAAAGGAGGAGAAAGGAGAAGATATAGGTCCTTCCAAAACATATTATCCTAGTAAAAGAAAAAGCTTTACAACCCTCAAAAGGGGAAAATATCCATCCAAGCAGCCAAAGAAGCCATCCTCCACTACCACCCAGGTAGGGAAGTGCAAACAGATGGATCCTGTGTTTCTGCACCCAGAGCAACATTAATTGCAACCCATGAGTCTATCCTCAGTAAATTTGCTTAATCCTTTTATGAACCCATCTATCCTCCCTTACTGTCCCAAGGAAATGAGTTACAAAACGTAATTGCCTATGATTTTTTTCAGCGTTACCTAATAGCATTTGATTTTACTTGTGCTTATAATCCTAGTTCTTAACACTACTAGTGTAAATGAAACCACTTGCAGTGCTGCAAGGGGTTCAAGGCCAACATTACATTGTTGAAATAAGGTTTGCGCATATAAACTACCTGATTTCTGTCAAATTCGTTCATGGCATCCTTAACAGCCTGAATGTAGTTAACGCCGGTAATCCAGGTGTAGCGGGGTATATATCCAGTGTAACCTTTGGATGAAGAGAAGAGAGAATGTTTTCTGCTTAAGAACATACATATCATATAAGAATCAACCAATTTGTAAGTGGAAGAGGCTAGGATAAATTTAAAATCTTGGCAAATTGTAGGGAAGAAAAACTTTTTAAAACTGTTCCATTTAAATAGTAAATTCAGATATTTCACACACAAGAGCTATTTTGAAGCTATGGGGTTTTTTTTAATGATCCCCAGAAAAACTCTATGGGCTGAACTGATCCATGATTAGTCTCCATGTGGTATGGGAAAAAACATTTTATTTTCTTATAGTGTTTTCTTTAAACCGATAGCTCTGTCAAGTTCTCTCCCAGTTTAACACACATGCAGATGCTAACTACCACGGGTCCAACCTTTTTTCATTTGCCCTACCCATCCAACAAACTGTCGCTATAACGTAGAAACTACACAAAATCTATTAAATGGGGAAGGAAAAAAGTAAAAGCTTGAAAAAATAACCACACAATTTCTTCTCACACTGGTGCTTGGTCCTCCTCTTTTGCTCAGTCTGAAATATTTTGACTCAAAATCACTGCATTTGCTATGGTCAGCTGCACAGTAAGGTAATGCCAGCTGATGTGATATCTTTTTTTTTTTTTGGGGGGGGGGGGTGTGATTTTCCTTTTATAATTTTCCTACGTGCAGGGGGAGCACTCTTCCAGTGTCCACGGTGAAGTTAGAGTATAATACATTATATGACAGAGTTCATATATTTATGATAGTGCAATATAACACTATTTGTTGATTTGATGATTCAGAAAGCTGTCTTGTGTTTCTAGGAGAGAAATAACTCTCTCAGTGGTAGCACTTACTCATCCAGCTACAGGAGTTAGCGCAGAGCCCATGACCCGCTCTCCCTTCCTGCTTTCTGGAGGGCTTGCTAGCAGGGGCTTACCGTCGTAGGGGCTGGAAGGAGGACGCAGCTCCCGCAACCCTTCCGCCTGCCCGCGGGCGCCCGAGCCTCAGTCTGAGACTCAGTGGGGCAACAGCGTCCCAAAGAAATGCCATCGCATCGAGAGGAGCTGGGGCATTTTCCATCCTAAAGTGTTCAAACGAGCTGGAGCAACTGGCAAATGTCTCCAGGATTTCCCACAGGAGAGGGGAACATGATGCTGTTTCTCCTGCGGAGGACTTGGGCTGCACGTAACCTCACTCTTTTACCTGAAATGGCTTTCTGTTGGATTGCATTTGGTACATCCAGCTTGGGGAGCCGGTTATAGCTCTCTGCATCCACTGTTTCAGTCACTGCTGGCAAAGTCACTCCTTCAATTTTTACAGGCTCAAAATAAAAGCAGAAATATAATAAACACCAGTAAAATCTGCTTCCTCCTTTGACTCCACAACTTAATTCACTGCCAGAACCTACTGATCACAACTGTCATTTTTTCTGGCTGTACACTAAGAGCCTCAAAGAATTTCCGGTGAAGTCAAATTACTAGACCAGATCTGTATACACAGAGACTTTGCAAAATACCCAAGGGAGAGCAAAGGGAGCTTTTGGTGCTGAGCTCCTTCGAAAATCTGTTCCACAGGCTATTTCTTAGAGCGAGGAGCAGGAATTTTTTTTTCCAATCCAGCTTTCGACTCAATACGTCAAATCTCTAATCTCTGCCTTCAGTGGATTTGCAGAGCCTCAGCCGACTGTGACATGACAAATGCTATCTTTGGGTCCAGAAGAAATAAGGGGATCAAACACGTTGACCCAGTGGCAGATTGGCTGTGCCATGCTACCTGTGTTATTGAGCCTGATGTTGTTTTACTGTGTCCAATCCCAATGCTTGTGTTTCATGAGGGATAATGAAAAATTGTAGGAAATTCAGGTGAGTCACGAGAACAGTGAAGAGACCAGAAACATGTCATGTAAAGAGAGACACCAGGAGCACTCTATTTTATTGAAGTGAATGTTGGTGGGATGGGCTTTAAGTTCCTACAAAGGAAACATAAGCCTAGTGCAAGAGGGCTGCTCATTTGAATAACACAAGATCTAATGACAGAATTTGAAGCTGAAGCACAATCAAATGAGAAACAAAGCCTTTTTGATTAGGAAGAGTAATCAATCGTTAGAACAATTTCCTGAAGATGTAGTGGATTCATTGCACTAAAAACATTAACATGAGTTTGATGTTCTGCAAGATGCTTCCTACTTTTTCTCCTTGCCAGGCCTGTAGGAAATTCCCTCTTCACACCCTGTATACCAAGGAGAGCCCTTCCATACCTACCTACCTACCTACCACATGCAGCTTTGCACTATAGCAGAGTACCTCAGCCATCCATCCCTCTGTAGCACGTGTCTTTTCTACCCCAAACCACTTACCTGTTTGATTTCTGGGATGCAGGAAAAGTTCCTCCATCCCGGGCCACAGGCACCATCAAGTTGGCAGGGACCATCCTTCTTTTCCAGTCCACCAGCCGCAGTTACGTCCGGCAATCGCCCCTCTTTCTCCTCAGATGCCTTTTGTGTTGCGGTGGGCTGGGGTGAAATCCTCTGCTTGTACCCGTATGCCAGCCTCAGGCCGGGATGGCTGGGAACACATCTGCTCTGCTCGTGCAAAGGTGCGGCGTCACCGGGGCCGACGCGCGGCGGCACAGGTCGCTCCTCTGCCGGCCCCCGCCAGGGCGGAGGCAGCCACCGAGTTATGGGGAAGGAGTGCCGGAGCGAGGGTGTCCCCGGCGAGGCGGGCCTGGGCACCGCCATGCTCCTCCGGCACTGGGGGTGGAGAACATCCCACGCTCTGGCCTGCAGGTGCCGTCAGCCCCATCTGATGAACCTGCCTGCACAGATTTAAAAGTTCAGTCATTTAAACTTCGATCTAAGGCCATGCCTAAACCACAAAACCTCAGCTTACCTATCTACACCAGCTAGCAGTAAGGCAGGAAAAAAAATAACATACTTTGCTCTGTTTGGCTGTATCCGTTCCCCCCCAAAACACAGCCCCCGCCGTGTCCAGCGGGGACTTCCTCCACTGGCTTTGATACCGTTAGTCAAGGAAAGGGTCTGCTGGCCAGGGGGAAAGATAATAGTAATCCTACAGCTACTGCGTGCTGTGAGCCAGGGGCAGAGCCTGCGGACTGAGGCGCTGCAGGGACGGCTGTGCTTGGCAACTTCCGTCAAACTTTCCCTTAAAAATAGCCTGTGACGTACATCCCTCGGATTCCCCGACCCTCTGCAGTCCAAGCGTTTCCTAAACCAATTTCTGTTTTTCCTTGGCAGTTGTGAGGAACGATTGATCTTACCCCATAACAACCTTTTCCTTATTGGAAAATTGTTACCCTAGTCTCGTCTGTTTTAAACAAACCAAATTCCTTCAATTTTTGTTCTTATAGGTCATTTTTTTTCAGCCCTCTGATCATTACTGCCGCTCCCTGAACTCCTCTTTTGTTTTGTCTATGTCTGTATTACAGCGCAAAAACCCCACAGACTAGACACCCTATCTTCCAGCTAAGGCTCTATCTGCAAAAAAAATCTACTGCAATAATTTCCGATCCTGTCTACAACAGGATAAAGTTTGCCCCTCTCTGCAAGAGTATAACGCTTCTGATTTGTTTTTGAGTTTGCATTGTCAAGTGCCATTCCCAAGTTAGCCACACATCAAAGGAAAACACCCAATGAAAGTGATTTTTCAATCCACTGTGCAAGTTTTAAAATAGCTTCAGCTTATTATTTCTTTAGATTATTAATGAAAACATAGAATCTACTCTTTCCCTTTTACCCAGCAAGCCAGTTACTCCATCAAAGGAAAAATGAAGTAGTTGTGTATCTGAGAAATCCATACTAGCTCTTTTTTAATCACCTTATGTGGTTCTTGGTTTTTTTTTCAAACTTATCGATTCAGAAAGATTGCTGAATTAGGCACAAAATCAAAAGCCAAGAGAGCATTGTCTATTTGACAGAGGAAGCTATGTGCACTCCAATCAATCTCTTCCCAATAACCCAGAGGCTGCTGACTAATGTACAGGAGCTATTTTCTGAATACTCCTGCATCTCGCTGTAGAAAACACCGCATGCAAGAGATGGGGCAGCGCCTCTGAGGAAGCAGGAACTTCCAGGAGAACCACTAAAGGTTCGGCTTCAAAACGTGTAGGGGGGTATTTTGACGTTTCAACTTTTTGTCTCTCTTCATTATGACCCTATGAGCGAGCGACCATCCGTTCTTCAGATAGGGAGGGCATCCTCCTCCTGGTTCCCAGCCCTGGAGAGCTCACGCGGGTTGCCCCGTGCACTTGCTCCCCAGGATAACTCCTCAAAATCAGCACAGCAGCCCCTGGAGACCCAGCATAACTGAGGGGGCCAAGTTTGATGTCACCGGTCAAACAAGTTTGCTGTCGCTTCCAGGCAAAAACGTATCTGGGATTCACCTGATAAAAATACTAGCAACATAATTAGCACCCATCAACAAGGTCTTACAGAAAATAGACCTTGACAAGCATTCTTCAGTTCTGAGTTTGCTAAAGGCAAACCACACAAATATGATACACTGCGGTGAGATATTTGACCTTAGTAACATCAAATATTCTCCTTAAAAAAGGAATGCCACGTAACATTAATAAAGTTTACAATGAAAGAACTAAGGACTTGCTCACTGACAGCGCTAAAGTAATAGTTATCGACGAAGAAGTTTTCAGCCGAATGAAGTGCTTCTTGCGACCACTTTCTTCAGCATTTTCACCAGTGAGAAGTAAATGTGAAATCAAAGCTGCAAACATTCATAAGCGATGTAAAGGTTGGCAAATATAAAATAATAACAAAGACAGGATAATGATAGAGAGCACCTAGGTCAACTGGTTAGTTGGGTCCATTCAAATAAGCTACGTTTTAATTCAAGGAAATGCAAATTTAGATGTCCAGGAATAAAGCTAGTAAGCTACACCTGCATAATGGAGACCTGTATCCTGGAAAGCACTGACTAAGCAGAACAGGAAGACCAAAGTTTGCAAGAAGCAGTACAAATTCCCAGCGTGAAGTGGGAAAGCAGCACTGTAACGTGGCTGTTTCCAGGTAACTCAAGACACAGATACCTCCCAGGATACAACCGCTGCCCACTGCCTTGCATATAGCCAAAGGATGACTTGCTCACGTTAAACAGGTCAGCTCTTCAGTATAGATCAGGCACCTTGCTCAAAGGGGCTGGGACTCCTACGAGGTAACTGCAGATTGCCAGGCCTGAGAAGCGCTCACGTAGGTTCCCTTGATGGGACAATAAGGAGATCCACACTAGCAGAACTGGCAGAAGTTGGAGCGGACGCAGCAAATTCCCTAATTAAATATGAGCTGAGAATAAGAGCTCCAAATTCAATGAGCTCTTTGCCAGGTGGGCCACCTGAGAAAACAGGAAGGGGCACACGAGGGATGGGTGGGATACCAGGAAGGGGCAGAGCCAATCCTACCTAAAGAAAAAGAGGACATTTTTGCCTGTGGAATACAAAAGAGTTGGAGAGGAGAGTGGGTTCATGCTTAAACGTCTCATCAGTGCTGCTGTCCAGGTGTCCTTGTTCACATGAGAGCTATGATTGCTCCATGAAAAATATCACACTGCTCCCCAGAAGATCATCCAGGTTCAGCCCAGACCTCCCTGCTCCCAAGTAACATTGTGACTTCAGTTACAGAAACTCCCACTTTGCTGAAGGGATGAAATCCTGACTTCCGCTCACCTGGATGTGCAGGAATATAATCTGGGACTTCATGCTTTGTCCCACTGAAGTCCTGTATGAATCTCAGCTTGTGC